AAGTATGAGTGAATTTAATGCTTGAGCATGTTAAGATGTTATGATAATGACCATTACGCAATGGGACACCCATTGGTAGTGGGTACCATTCTATTATGATAGTGTGATACTGACCACTAGGCGATAAGATACCCATCGGTAGTGGATACTGCCCTACTGATACTGGCCGCTAAGAGATGGGACACGCATCGGTAGTAGGTACTATTATATTGAGAAAAGTGATGCCGGTAGTGCTCTCTAACTCACTGAATGATAGGATGGAGTTAGGTGAAAGTGAAATGGGAGGGTCGTACCCCCCGAAACTCATATGATGAGACTAGTGAGTGAAGCCTTGCAAGGTAAGTGCCTATCTAAAACCCCAAAGCATGCTGGGGACCGTGTGTGTTAGTATGAGGGCATTACAAAGTGAATTTCCCTACTTTTCATTGCCCTCCCTCATGAGAAATGGTAGAGGTCCTAAACAATGGGATTGGCTGGGCTTGGCTTGGCTTGATGAATAGGGCTTCTACTTCAAGAATAGGTGAACTAAGGATTGAGTGGATGATGCCTGAATAATGCATGTGAATTATAATGATAGTAATAATTGAATGATAATCCTGACATTTTGATTTGACAATTGTAATAGATGCATTGATATGATTTATGATTTATATGACGTTTGCACTGCGAATTCTTATAATTGAAAGAATTGTTCATAACGCATGTATAGACTCAATAATGATGCATATCACCTAGATCTACTTAATGGGCTATATAGCTCATCTCACTGTATCTCTCCTCCTTGTAGATTAATAACGACAGGTCAAGGGCCAGGAGCACGTGTTTTGCAGCTGGGAGTCAAAGCCATTTTATTTTAAGAAGAAACACGGATCTTGTATGTGGTTGGGCAGTTTAGCCTGAATCTTGTTTATTTTGGAAAAATGTAATATTGGGCTCTAATGCCCTAGACTCAAGTGTAATATTTTGGGAAGAACTTGATATAGTACATTTTTATTAGTGTATGGATCCTTCAAATTTTAAATATTTATCTACACTTAGAGTTATTGATTTAGTTCTTTGCCATGGTTTTCTTTGATCATCGATACAACGGCGTTAAGTCAACTCAGACGCAAGTGACATGTGCTACCATGGGATCACAAACCCGCACTCGATCACCCTCCGTCAAGTATGGAATAGGGGTCGGGGGCGAGGTCGTGACATAGGAGGTTTTGCTTGGATCTGAGTTTCTAGATCTTGAGCTTTAATTGTCATAGGGTTCAGAGGATAGAGTTTTAGGGTTTTGAACATTAATCTAAGGTTTGATTCAAGTTTGAAGTCTGAAAATGTGGTTTTCTCTCTAAGAATCGAGGTTTGCTAAGGAATACTAGTTTTTTTCTTTCTTTAAAGTTTAGTTTCTCTCTTTTGACTTGTAACCCCCTCAAATGTAGGGGTAGCAATGGGTCGGGTATGGATCAGGTCTAGCTGGACCGAAACCCAGACCCGATTGTATTCGAGTCTTGGTTTTGGACCCGGACCCAACCTGTCGAGTCCAAAAGTTGGATCCATACCTATACCTGTTGGGTCCTAGGTCTATCCTGTCGGGTACCAAGTTAGTCAGATCCATTGCCACCCTCACTATGAGCTTCGTTTTTTGTAGCCTACAATGGTGAACAACAGAGAACTTATTTTTGACGGGTGGGCGATTAGAGAGAGAGAGAGACATTCGAGTTCTAGATTGAAAGCTATGTCTCCAAGAAACTGAGACAGGGAGAATTACAGAGAGGGAGGATGGCGATGGAGTTTGGCCGTTTGGGGAACCAGAGGAAGACGAAAAGTATCGAAACAATTTTAAGGTTGGGCTTTGGCATTTGGGTAAACTAAAAATTCGGGTCCGAGTATCTACCGGTCGGGTATAACAAAACCCGTACCCAGACCCGAGACTATGTAGGTATCTTATATTGGACCTAGACCCTATCCACAAGTCCAAAACTTAGACCCATACCCAGACCCATGTCGGGTATGGGTCGGATCTAGGTCCATTGCGACCCCTACTCAAATGGCCACGATTTGCTGACACTCGGTTCTTGGTGCTTATACATCATACTCAAGTCAAACTTTGAATCATTTGGCAGTCAAACAGGTAAGCAATGACATATGCGTTGTTTGGTCGTTTTGGGTCAAACAATGGTATCCCATCATCTAGGCTTCATATGTCCTAGAGACAGTTCTGGAAGTTTGAGCAGGATAGACGACGGGTTATGGGTGGCCAAAATCTCAAGATTCCAGTTTTCGTGATATTTTCTTCGCTTTTGGATTTTATCTATTCTATTTTCAGGTTCAAACTCTACCCTAATCCTGAGTTTTATTTCCTTCCAAATTCAATATTTCCTTCCAAATTCAAAGGTGATTTCGTAGGATAAGGGAGTATAATTTGGGGACTAGACCATGGGGTTGGTGGTTTAGGGCATTTTAGGATAGTATGGTCCCTAAGGGTTCACTAGGTATTTCTAGGATGGGGCTTTAAGGTTAAGAAAAATAAGAAAAAATTTCAAATTCAAAATGGGGTGTTTATAATTACATAAATTATATAATATGACCACCTCTACATACATATACAGGATTCTCTCGTACAAGTTTAATATAGAAAAATCTTTCTTCTTCCCCATACCATATCTCTCTGTCTTTGCGTAAGTGCATATATTATCTCTCTCTACCCATACGTGATGTTCATACCCTTCCATACTAGACATGGTTTAGAGAACCTATTTTGTAGATATAAGCTTCTTTTTTTTTTTTTATGTATGTTTCATATATGTGATTGATTTGATTCATAATCAAGTTCTATTGGTAGTGGATATAACAAGGGGCGTCATTAAATCCTTGGATGTAATTTGGGTAAATTGAGCATCATAATCGGCTTAAATACTTTTAGATTAAGTGCACACATTTGAGTTTTGTTTATGTAAATGGAGTATGAGTTCATGTAAATCTTTTATTTTAAGTGTTTGTATTAATTCATGAGTTTAGTGGATGTGGATGAAATTGTATTCACAAAACATTGTATGGTAGGTTTCTCAATTTCCATGGTATACATTTGAGTGGGAGTTGTCATGCTATCAATTTGAAGTCTAGTTTTAGTATTTTGGAGTATATTTGAGGTTGTGTGTCCAATGTAATTGAAAATCAAGGTCGAGGTGGTAGTACTAACGTACCCCAGTTGCAGGTCACAGCCTTCATTATCACTAATACATTAAAAAAACTGACTATTTCAAACATAGGTAAGGGCCTATATTCCCCACTGATCTTCCCAAAAAAAAAAGTATTCTATGTAACTCCCTATGCCACTATTCATATGCGAGGTCTCTAAAAAATCCATCACGTGTCAAACATAGTTGGAGAACACCGAGTTTCAACCATACATCAAGAAGCATCAAAATCTCCGTTTGAGAATAGACAAATAAGCCAAAAAAAAGGGTGTGATTTCCATAAGATTGCAACCTTAAACAATCCAACTAAGGTGCACCTTCAAATTTTATCATAATATATAATTTTGATGTAAAATGTTATTAAGATTATTTCAAAATCTATTTTTATATCTAATTATAAAATTTTAAATTCCAAAAATGGTTAAAATCAAATCGATCCATAAACTTATGAAAATATTGAAAATGGACGGTGTAGATAATATGTTGTAAGATACACTATTTTTGAGACTCAAAATCTTTGTATTTTTCATAGTCATACATCTCGCTGTCGAGATGATCAATTATAGGGTTTTTCAACATTAAAACAACCTTTTTCAATAGATTTTTTAGGTGCATCCATAGTTCTACATTTTAAAGTTGCAACCTTATATAAACTTTTTCCCAAAAAAAGAAAACAAGAACAACTCAAATCAATCTTCCTCCCTGATTTTATCTTGAGGACCCTAAACTCTAGAGTGAAAATACCACCACAACCTCTTTTTCTTCCAACAGCCCCTCCATACTGATAAGAAACCCCAATTTTTTTTTCTTTTCCTTTTGTACTCCTGTGATTGTAATACAATGAGGTCATTTACCTTTGGTATAAGGAGGTCACAATTACTTACAACCATCCAATATGAAATCTAATAGCTTGGGTGTGTCAAAAAGTTTGAGAAAATTTCTTTCGAATTTTGAGCTTGGTAATGAAATAAATGCAACCATCCAATTTCATATCCAATGGTCAAGATTAATTATGATCACCTTGTACCAAAAGTAAATCATATCATTATATACTTTCCATAGACGCTTTCTTATATTGCTTTACCAAAAGTAACCCCTCTCCTCATGGGCTAGGTCACCAAAATAGAAAAAAAGGTAACAGGAACCACATTTCTGGGGAGCAAAATGGGCCAATCCGTACTATGTTTCCCAATGGTGGGATCATGCCAAGTTTCCCTTTCTTATTCCCTCTCATTAATGAACCGCAAAGTGCTTCTTCACTTTGTGTGTTTTTAAGATGTAAGCTTTCTCAACCACTTCTAAGGTTCTCTTTTTTATACCAACAGTCACCTAAATCCGAAATGCTCTTCGTGAGTTTGTAATTGTTTAGTGTTAAGAACTTCCCTCCAAAGTTAGTCAAAAAAACACTTGGGCTCTCACCACAGCTCTAAAGACAGAAAAAGCAAACCTTTATCACCCAATGCCTTTTTGAAAAGGTGGCCACCAATGATTTTGTTCGAGAATGCCAAAACTACCCTTATCCATACGTGTTCATCTGATCAAACAAAGAATCATCGAAAACGAGTGCTCCAAGAGAGAGAGTCGGGCATTTTCCTTACTACTTCCTTCATAGTATTGCATGCTTAGTAGGAACGTCGAAGGAGCGAAGACCTACCTCTCTCTTTAACAATTATGCTTATCCATTAGATTTCAAATCAAGAGGTTGAGTGTGTAATTGACTTAGACTCAATAAAAAATTAACTTTGTCATACACTCCAAGCCATATAATTTGGCATCTAATAGCTAAGAGTAATTGTGATCTCTTTACAACAAAGATAAATGGTCTCCTAATATACAATCTTATTCATAAAACCTCTCTCTCTCATAAATACATATATTCATAAACTTCCCTATATATGCAAAAATACTAAAGAAAAGTGAACACACTCTTAACATAACCATCTCAATAATGGTAGCCACGAGATGCAATTGCATCCTGAAGAACAGATTACGCAATTGTTTCGTGATCAAAGAGGAGTAGGGCGGTCCTTTTACTTTACAATACAGCTCATTATTAAATTGAGCAGGGAAGTCTGTCTAATCGAGAGTACTTCCCTAGTTTCACAAGTTCAGGACGTTACCAAGCCATGTTCACATGACAATAAGAGAAGAATGCAAACCACAGCATCACACCTAAATAATTACATCAACTCTCCTTCCATTCTTAATCTTAACCCAGCCTTCAGTGAGTTACGATATTTGAGTTAAAAATTTTCCTCTGCATCTTTATCAATGGAACAAATGGAAGAAAGAAAACCAGACACCCCAAACACGCACAACATGCCCAAACAACAACATAAGTCAGCAGTTAGCCATTGTGATCAGTGTGAAGTATCGGAATGTCGTTAGCTCTTGTGAGTTACTCAATTCACTAGATCCCACTAAGCTTAATGAGTAGTGGCAGGCAAAGAAGGGATCTTCTCCAGAGATTGAAGAACTTCTTTCATGGCAGGTCGCTTTTGTGGAACCGAAGCAGCACAACAGAACCCAATTCTAAGGCAGAGCATCACAGCTTCCTCCTTTCCTTGTAGCTCACTCCGCAATGCAGGGTCCATGGCCCAAAGGGCCCTACCTTTCTCCTCCAAAACCCTCGCATTCCAGTGGTTAAAGTCCTTCTCCGAAGGAGGCTTACCTGTGATCAACTCAAGAAACACAATGCCATAAGAATAGACATCCCATTTTTGTGTGGGCTTCAGTGTCTTTAAGGTCTCAGGGGCCTGATAAGGAGATATGAAGTTCCTCGAAGAACCAGGGCTCCCACTCATGAGCAAGTCAGGGGCGGCAACGGGAGATTGAAGGCTGTCTTTTGAGAGGGTGGAACGCTGGCTACCAAAGTGGAGGGCAGCTGAGCTGCTTGCTTTGCCTTGGTTATTGGCCACTAGCCTGTCCAACCCGAAATCACTTATGCATGGCTCTAGGTCTTGGCCTAAGAGAATGTTGCTTGGTTTTAGGTTTCCATGGACGTATTTCTTTTCATGAAGGTATGCGAGTCCTCTGGCCACACCCTTGCCGATCATTAGTCGTGCTTCCCATGGAAGATGAAATGGAGAAGAAGAACCACCCATTTTCCCTGCCAAACGAGAAGGATGCAAAGAACATTAGACCCATTGGCTTGCTAAAAACAATCCAACATCGTCCTTAATGTGATTTGAAGACAGAACTAGGAGCAGGAAGAAAAACATTGGAGTGCGGCAACACTAATATAGTAAAACCAGAGGAGAAAAAATATAAACGGCCAAGAAAGAAAAACAAAAACAGGGTGGTGTCAAGGAGCTTAAATTCAATTCAACACATGAATATATTCAATGAAGGTATAAAAAGAACTAATGGAAACTCCAAGAGCAGAAAGAATCCAATTGCACTGAACAAAAACTTAGCTTAGTCCACGGGAAAACCCCAATATAAGATTGGCATGTATTAAACCCAAAAAGAACACAGTTCTACAATGCCTTGATCAGAAACAGTAAGTAAGATGTGAAAACTGAGGAAAGGATTTTGGACAGAAAGGGCTCAATTTCTATAAAACAACACTAGGATTTGCGAAGCATAAACCACATTGCCCTGAATCTTGATAAATCGTATGTAAAGAAATTTATATAAGAGAAAAACAAATAGCCGGAATGTAACCCTAATCTGGTTTTTTATGAAAATTCACAACCAGCACATCTTATATGAAGAAGACAGAAATGCCAAGAGCATTAAGTAACCCAATTTGACATGGCCTTAATGAATGTAGTAATTTATATTTCGCACAAACAAAAAATAAATGAAGAAGAAAAAACTGAGAACAAAGTGAACCCGATTATCACGAGGAAAGCAAACATTTACACAATAATAATCAACTAGAAGCATGGATTGTTTGTTACCATAGAAGGCGCTGGAGAGGCTTCCGTTAGGAACATAATCATATATCAAAAGTTTCTCATCAGGTCCCCAGTAGAACCCACGAAGCTGAACCAAGTTGGGGTGCCTTGCCTTAGCAATGATCCTCACCTGCCCTTCAAAATCCTTCATCTTATCCACTCCACACTCCCCTATCCTTCTCACTGCAAGCATGCTTCCATCTTCGAGCACTGCCTTGTATACAATGCTCGACCCACTCGCCCCTAATATATATGCGGAAGCCTTCAAAAGCCTCTCTAATTCAAGTTCCGTATCTCCATCTACAGTTACCAGCTTCCCCCCCCCTTCTCGCTTCTTCTGCTCTTCATCCTCAGTGTCAGAGGACCCAGTAGTCGATTCAGAAGTGTTGTCTTCTCGATCATTTCCTCCTGTTCTTAAACAATACCAACTCGATAAATGTCCTCCGTCTTGCAAAGTGGAGTCCACTTTAAGACCCCCCTGTTCGATGCTCTGTTTCCTCATCTTTTCCCCATTTTTAACTTCACCCTTTCGGTTTTTCTTCTTGACCTGGTATTTGTAAAGGATCACCATGGCCAGAAGCCCAAGACCTGCGAAATCTCCAACCACAATTGCGGCAATGGCGCCTGGTTTCAGCCCTTTGTTATTGCTCTGGTTTCTAGTCACAACTGTTGAGCCATTTTTGTTGGTTACAGTGGTTGCAACAGGAGCCTGAGCCCCAAGAGTGTTAGGAATTGCAGCAATGGCAGGTGGTGAAGTTGTTGAATTGGGGGGTGGATCAGAGAGAGTTGCAGGTGCATAACAGAGAATCTTCAATGGCCTACCGCAAAGGCCCGGATTTCCAGAAAAAGATTCTGGCTTTTGCACCACAAAGGCACCAGAATCCGGTACTGAACCAGTAAAATTATTGTTAGACAAATCCAATGTGGCATTTTCCAGCAACTTTGATCCCAAACTTGCTGGAATCTCACCGGAAAACCGGTTCAATGAAAGGTTCAGGTACTGGATATTGCCACCCAGGTCTTCAGGCAAGGACCCATTCAACAAATTCGAAGAAAAATCCAACACTTCAGTAGGCATTGAAGAATTGGAGCCAAACCCACTGGGTAAACTGCCAGAGAAGAAGTTGTTGCTAAGGGAGAGAGATATGAGCTCCGGTGCCTGGGCTAGACTGGAAGGAATCTCCCCAGACAGTGCATTAAAAGAGAGGTTGAGATTGCGGAGATGGGTGAAATTTCCGGTGATATTGGCTGGAAGCTTTCCAAAGAGTTTGTTATTGGCTAGGGAGAGAGTTTCAAGCTCAGTTGAGGAGAAGAGAGAGAGGGGAATGGTGCCATTGAAGAGGTTGTTAGAGAGGTCAAGAAGGCGGAGGTGGTCTATGTAGCCAAGCTCGAGTGGGATCGAGCCCAGGAGCTGGTTTCCCTGTAGAACCAAGCTTGTGACCCTGAGCTCATTGTTTTGGGCCTGAATGACTGAGCAGGTGATCCCATTCCATGAACAAGGGGTGGAATCACTGTAATTCCAGCTCTCTAAGGACGATAGAGGGTCACTCATCACTGAATATTTCAATGAAAGCAAAAGTACCCCATCAGAATTCAATCCTAGACCAAGAAACCCATTATTCACCACCACAACTAGAAACTGGAACAGGAATATTAACAACAAACTGGCCATAGACTCTTTCTCACTCTAGAACAAATAGCTTTCTCTCTCTCTCTCTCTCTC